ACTGCAGAAAAAACAAACCCTTTATTTTTTTGCAATATAAGAATTTGGCCATATACATGTTACTTAAATTACTCATCAACATTCTACTGTTAGTAACTTGAAAAATAAAGTGCCTCGGTTATATTGTTTTTGAGATTAGAATTTAAAAAAATTGATTTGTGCCTACTTAACACTTGTACATTCATTATCATAATTTTTGTTGGTTAGTTACTGTTGTATAACGAGTTATTTAATTATAAAAAAAAGAATGACGAAATTTTAATTTAATTATAAAATTACGTTGGTGGGTTGGCCTTTCGGACCAAGTCTAGTCTAGTAGTGAAGAGTTTGAATAATTTGTATTAGTAGGTTATATATTCAATTCTTATTATTGTATTAAAAAAAGGGAATAACATCTATTTAAAATATAAGCTTATATAATTTTAGATTCTAACTGTTGATTTTCGTCTATCAACGGTTATAATTTATTGGATCAAAATTATTAATTAATTAATAATAAATTTGGCCCATTAAATTTGACCCAATCCCTAAAAAAAATCTGCATTTATAAGTCTTTATTTAACTGTTTAAATTTTGTTAATACATATTATATTATAGGTACAGTACATGGCACCGACCATTTCTTCTCTATCGTCTTCCTTGAAAAGTGCATGTTACGTGACAAAAATCCGCAACAACTATTGATTGCATTTGCATGAGCATAAAATTTGCCTAACAATCAGGAATTGTTGTGATATTCGGTAAAAATTATGTCTTTTTAATTGTATAAAGAAGGCCTACTTCGTCATAGGTCTGCCAAAACTGGGGAAATGACGAACTTGAAGTGGGAAGACCATGGAAAAAAAATCATCAAATTATGTATAATTTGCATCATAATATACAATTGATACATTATTACTTTAATATAAAAACTTGATAAAACATTACAATTTACAAGTTTTGCATTTAATATTGTAATTACATAGTGATTTGGATTTTTTACTTTTCTCCACACACAAAAATTGTGATTTGAAGTTTTCTATGTTTTTTTAAGTTGGTGAATTCAACATAAGAAATTATCTGAGATATACTTTTATTTTCATACCGAGATGCACACGACAGTACATTGATCTATGCGAAAAAGAATGTAACAAAATATTTTATAGAGAAGTTTTAATTATTTTAGTCGATTTTTTAAAATAACTTAATTTGAAAAAACTGAAAGATTTGTCTCATTCTATACGATGAAGAGTGAAGACTAACATAAATCCATTGACATTTTTCCCTTTTCTTTTTCTTTGCAGCCATGTGAATGGATTTCGCAACAGTCTAAATTCAAAATTCTCCACTACTTTCCGTTGAAATCCAATGTACAAACCAACGTGGTGCTAAAAGCCAAAGTGCCTCCAACGGCTCGCACATTATTTTTTTGACAATGGATTAGTTAAAGCAGAGTGAAAAAAGCAACAGTTATTATAACCGTTTGTGAAATCAGAGGCACCTCTAACCTTGACTTTTTGGTTTGTGCTTGGCAGCTACTTTTTCTAAAGCTCATTTTTTGTGCATCTTGATCCCGCCAATGCCATCTCCTATTTCAACTCTATGCTTTTTCTTCACGGAAAGTGTTTAGCACAATAATTGTGAGAATTGTCGTCTCACGTGAGCTTCTTGCATAACCTTTTTAAATAAGTAGGTATTTGGTAGCAAGATTCTTTTGGGATGTATGGGAAAGTAAAAATGGATATTCCAAAATACTATGTTTGGTAGTATTTTAAAAAAAAAATTGCTGGGGTAATTGGATAACTATGATTCAATTTCATGTGTAAAAATTTGAAACAAAAATACCACTTAGAAGGTGGTATTGTGACTTCCCTATGTAAATGAAAAAGGAGATTTGAATTTTGTGTCAAAAATAGCCTTGAGTAAATTTGTAATTTAACTCCATTTTTCCAACAATATTAAACTCTTACCAAAGATGGGGTTATATTTGTAATTTAACTTCATTTTCCCAGCAATATTTTACCTTCAACCAAACACAGACTCAGGAAACTTAAATCAATTTTCTCAGTAATATTTCGACTTACCAAATAACTTTTTTTTAACTTTCCTAGAAAACTCACATTCTCACCATTTTTCTAGTAATTGTATTTCCCTAATAAAAAAATTTTCTCCTCTACTAAACGCCCCCTAAGGCTTAAATAGAGGTTTTTTCTTCACTTGAGATAAAGACAAAAATCTTAAGTTTGTTGGATAGATTGTGATTATGATACACTAAGGAAATCTATGAGGCCCAAGTCCGCTCCATTATGGGCCAAGGACTATGTGTCCTCTACTTGTAAAGACACTTCTAGAAATTAGAAGTAGTGCTGTTAGTGATACTTAGGTGTCCTCTGTTTGTAAAGACACTTGGGGAAGTTAGAAAATGCACGGTAGTGAGTCATACTTGTATAGGAAAAGATATAAAAGACAAAGGAGATTGTATTGAGGGATTATGTGAATAAAATTGATTGTTCTGTTATACACTTTCTTGTCTCCTTCTATCAATTGGTGCTTTCACTTCTGCAACTCAACAACCAGGATGCGAGTCCAAGATTTGGCAGAAGAGATCCATCAACGCATTGATCAGATTACAGAATCTCTCGATGCACGCGTGGAGACTCGTTTTGCAGCGATGGAGGCGCGCTTAAGGGACCTGTTGTTATTTGGGTCCAATGGGTCGCAAGGTAACACTCATGTTCCTCACCATGCAGATTGTTCGAGAGAACAACCAGATCATCGTTCAGCTCTTAAGACAGTGAAGATGGAAATACCCACTTTTATTGGACAAGATTCGCACAATTGGATTTTTCGCTCCGAAATGTACTTTCGGATTCAAAGAACACCAGAGGATTTGAAGGTACAACTTGCGGGACTTAAGATGGAAGGAGCAGCAGCGTCTTGGTACCAATGGATGTTTAGTAGGGGTGTTCGCGGTCTGGATTGGATCGATTTTGGAAGCAAAAATCATCTGATCCAATCCCTTCGGTTTGATCATATAATCATCCATTCGGTTTTGATTTTTTTCCAAATCTGATCCGATCCGATCCAATCCAATTTTTTTCGGTTTGGATCGGATCGATTTTAGATTTTTTGAAAATCCTAAAATTTATTTCATGATTATTGTGCAAATAACATTTTTTGTATATATTGGCTTTGTAAAAAAAAATTGTAATACAAAAGCATTAGTAAACTATAATATAATTTTTTTAATTTTGGCAATGAGATATGAAGCTCTACAAAGATAAAATTTTGTTGATGAGATATGACTAGATTTTTTCTTGGGTTTAGTTGATGAGTTAATGGGTCTTGGATTTAGAAATTTTTAGGCTATGATTAGGGAAATACCCAAGTAGGTAGAGGGAAATTAATATATTGGATCGGTTTGGATTGGATCGGTTTTCATCAACCCATCCAAAAACCGATCCAATCCAATTAAAATTTGCGGTTTTTAATCGGTTTTCGGTTTATTCGGTTATCGGTTTTTCGGTTCGGTCACCGCGGTTTGAATCAGTTTGGATCGGTTGATGAACACCCCTAATGTTTAGCAGTGGCACTATTCATTCTCGGGAAGACCTTACACGTGCTGTGCGTGAAAGGTTCAGTTTTTCTCTTCACCGAGACATTTAAGGCGTACTCTCGCGTCTAACCCAAACTGGCTCATTGCAAGATTATATGAAGGAATTTGAGCAATTGACGAATCAGGCTTCTGAGGTAGCTGATGACTTGTTGATGACGTTTTTTATTTCAGATCTTCAACCGGAGTTAAGGAGTGCCATTCAGCTTCATTGGCCGGCGACCTTGCATCAAGCAATGCGTTTGGCAATTTCTTATGACTCTCACCATGCTGAGCTACGCTCTTCTTTCTCTTCATCGAATAAGAAAACCAATTTTCGTTCCCCTTTCACAACAGAGAAACCCAACCCAGCACCTATTACAACAACCTCACCAAATCAACCATTAGCTTTACCCTCAACAACGACTACAAGGATGTCTCAGTGACCAATCAGACGAATACCACCAGAGGAGATGCAACGAAAAAGGGATTTAGGTTTGTGCTTCACCTGTGATGAGAAATGGACCGCTAAGCATCAATGTCCAGCCAAGGTGTTGTTTTTGTTTGGCGATGTTGATGATACTATAACTGATGATCAGGAAGAGGAAATAGTGTGGAATGGAGAGCTCAGCAACGACCATAAGGTGGATGCAGCCTTGCATTCTTTATCTGGTATGTCGAATCCTCGATCCTTACGGTTATTAGTTGATGTGTTAGGGAAGATAACACAAGTTTTGGTGGACTCTAGGAGTTCCCATAACTTTATTCGTGCTCAGTTAGCAGCAGAATTGGGATTGCCATTGGTTCGTATTCCTAAGATGCGTGTCTTTTTGGGCAATGGAGAATTTTTATCCTGCCATATGAAGTGTTCCAATATCGAATTCCTTATACAAGGTCATGCTTTCACCACTGATCTTTGGGTTTTGGAATTGGCAGAATTGAACATTATTTTAGGAATGCCTTGGTTATGTGCTTTGGGTCAGGTGACGCATGATTACAATAAAATGTCTATGGAATTCAGGCATCTTGGAAAATGGATTAATCTCTGTGAAGGATCTGATAGTCCAGGACATCAAAAGGGTATGGCCCATCAAGCTATGCAGCTGTCTCTCATGGTGGAAGGGATCCCAAACTCTGAACCAGAAAATTCTCCAAATCCTGAGGTGTTGGCTCTTAATGGTAAGATACATAACCTGCTCTGGCCCATTTTATTAAAACATCAGCATGTTTTTGTATTCCAAATTCCTTACCACTATTGGTGGAAGGATCTAAGCCGGTTAGTGTCAAACCATACCGATATCCTTACCATCAAAAGGAGGAGATTGAGAAACAAGTGTCAACCTTGTTAACCTCGGGAGACATCAAGCATAGTCAAAGTTCATTTTCTTCTCCAATATTGCTGGCCAAAAAGCAAGATGCTACATAGAGAATGTGTGTTGACTACCGAGCATTGAATGCAATCACAGTTAAGGACAGATTTCTGATTCCAACAATAGACGAGCTCCTTGATGAATTGCTTGGTGCTACAGTGTTTAGTAAGCTGGATCTTCGTAGTGGTTACCACCAGATTCGTATGAAGAAGGAAGACGTGTACAAGACTGCCTTCCGCACTCATGAAGGACATTACGAATTTTGTGTAATGCCATTTGTCCTCACAAACGCTCCAGCCACGTTCTAATCAGCTATGAATAAGATTTTTTGGCCCTTCTTGCGCAAATTTATTGTGGTATTCTTTGATGATGTGTTGATATATAGCTCATCAATGGATATTCATGTGGTTCACTTGGAGCAAGCCCCGCTCTGTTTAAAAGATAATCAGTTCTTTTTAAAACTTAGCAAGTGCGAGTTTGGTCTTCCGGAAATTTCTTATTTAGGCCATGTGGTTTCTGCCTTTGGAGTCAAGGCTGACCCAAAAAAGTTGGCAGTCATGTTGGATTGGCCTCAGCCACGCAGTGTGAAACAGCTAAGGGAATTTTTGGGCCTAACCGGTTATTACCGGCGTTTTGTTCATGGTTATGCAACCATAGCAGCTCCCTTAACTGATATGCTCAAGGGTGAAGAGATGGCATGGTCTGAACTAGCAAAGAATGCTTTTGTTCAATTGAAGGAGGCAATGTCTGTAATTCCAATACTTGGGCTACCTGATTTTAGTTCACAATTTATTGTAGAAACTGATGCATCTAATACTGGTGTTGGGGTTGTTCTCATCCAAGCAGGTAGGCCTATTTCATTTTTCAGCAAGAAGCTAGGTCCCCGGTTGGCTGCCGCCTCCACGTATGTACGTGAGTTATGTGCCATTACATAAGCGGTTAAAAAGTGGCGTCATTATCTTCTTGGATCATATTTTGTTGTTCGTACGGATCACCAAAGCATTAAAGAGCTGTTGTCACAAACTATTCACACTCCGTAACAACATAAGTATGTTTATAAGTTGTTAGGCTATGACTTCACAATCGATATAAGCCAGGGGCTTCAAATGTAGTTGTTGATGCCTTATCAAGGCAGTTTGCAAAAGACAATACAACTGCATCATTGCATGCTGTGCTATCATAACCATGTTTCAACTTGCTTCAACAAATCAAAGCTGAAAATGCACTATTTTTAGACTTAGTGCATCTCCATCACAATTTTAATTCTGGCCTGATTACTGATGCAAATATTACGTGCAAGGAGGGTATGTTATTTCATTTAGGCAAGTTCTATATTAGTTCCAATTCCAATCTTAAACAAGTATTGATGCATGAAGCTCACGGTTCACCAATGGGAGGTCATGCAGGAGCTCTTCGAACATTTCTACGTCTCTCAACATCATTTTCTTGGCTTCCTATGAGAAGGGAAGTGACTGAGTATGTCAAGCACTGCCTTACCTGTCAACAAACTAAAACATCGACCCAAGCTCCTATGGGGTTGTTGCATCCATTGCCAGTTCCTGAGGCAGTATTTGAGGATTTAACAATGGATTTTATTACGGGCTTGCCATCTTCACAAGGGTTTTGTACAATTTTGGTGGTAGTGGATCATTTAACGAAGTATGCTCATTTTGGACCATTGGCAACTTCTTTCACAGCAGCTTCTGTTGCAGCACTATTTTGCGAAATGGTGATCAAGTTACATGGCTTCCCACGTTCTATAGTGTCGGACAGAGACACAATTTTTGTCAGTCAGTTTTGGAGAAAACTTTTTCAGTTTAGTGGCACCAAACTCAACATGTCTTCGGCCTACCACCCACAATCTGATGGGCAATCTGAGGTCACCAACAGGTACCTAGAGCAATACTTAAGAGCTTATTGTTCAGAACAAAACAATCGATGGGTTTCCTTTCTTGGTTAGGATGAGTTACATTACAATACTTCAGTTCATTCTTCTATTAAGATGACTCTGTTTCAGGCCTTATATGGACGCATACCTCCCACAATCCCACACTACCCTCGTGGTCTTGTTAAGATTGAAGCCTTGGATACTATGCTGGTTCAGAGAAATGAATTGTTGCATGCTCTTAAGTCACACTTGATTCAAGCTCAAAATAGGATGAAGAACTTGGCTGATAAGAAGCGTAAGGACCATTCGTTTGCTGTGGGAGATTTAGTATTGGTACGTTTACAACCACATAGACAAGTACCTGTAGCACGTCGTGCCAATCACAAGCTGGCTAAACGTTTCTTTGGACCATTTCCAATCCAAAAGGTTATTAGTGTTGTTGCCTACCGTTTAGCTCTGCCACCAGAGAGTAGAATTCATCCCACATTTCATATTTCTGCCTTGAAGCCCTTCCATGGTTCGAACACTGTTGGGTTCTCTCCTCTGCCTCTTGACAGCATTGATAATTGACCAATTGAAATTCCCTTAGTAGTTTTGGCAACTCGTACAATCAAAGTTCGGGGTAAGCCACAATCTCAGAAGTTAGAAGTAGTGTTGTTAGTGATACTTAGGTGTCCTCTGTTTGTAAAGACACTTGGGGAAGTTAAAAAATGCACGGAAGTGAGTCATACTTGTATAGGAAAAGATATAAAAGACAAAGGAGATTGTATTGAGGGATTATATGAATAAAATTGACTGTTCTGTTATACACTTTCTTGTCTCTTTATATCAGATTATTAATTAAATCAACAAATTATATATATATATATATATAATATGTGTGGGACCTAGATAAATTCAAGAGGAAATGAATTGAGTTGCATAAAAAAATTGATCCCAATGAGACAATGGCAGACCTATGTTAGTGCACATGACTACAAGTGCACACAGTAGTAACCTTTGAAAAGTTTGGAATTCTCAAGTACTGACTCTCAAGTTTAAGTGAGTTTTTTGGTTTTATGTTGAAACCACTCAAAATCTTGATTGCTTCCGAAATCACGTCGAACATAGTGCCAACATGTCTGAGGCAAAGTCAAGTTTGGCTTCAAACTTTTGCTGACAAAATTATCCTTTTAGCTTAATAATATATTACTATTCTAATAATATTCAAATAAGTAGAATTCATTTTTTTTAATGAGCTCGCAGATATTTCTTTCTTTTTAAGTGATAATTGGTTTAACGCATACGTGCTAACTTATGTTGAACGTGATATATTTGATAAGATTGATAAGGAAGATATAATACAATATTTTTAAGGAATAAAAAATCGAAGAATGCTTTTATAATCGTTCTATTGTAATATCTTAATTGACTCTTGATTATTATTATTTTATGTTAAGTTGAAACTTTCTTCTTCTTTTTTCTTATTTATATTCTTTTATTTTTTAATGCATTTAAAATTTTATTTAAAAAATAAAAAAATCAAGGACACTGTCCCCGAGCTCCCATCATTAAATGTGCAGACATAAACAAATTTTTTTGGGTCCGCCACGGCAGACAAATCTACTATAATGTTTGAGTGTTTAAGGGGTGAAATACGTCAATGCAATAGTGAATGGATGAGGCTATAGTGTAGAATTGAGCTCAATAACAGAGTCATCGTTCAAATCTCACGCAAAAGCTAAGAATTAAGGAGAGGTGAAAGGCACGATCGGCTATGGTGGGGTTGAAATTTAGCAGGATAACAACAATGAAGATCAATGAGTAGAAAAATAACTTCTCAACGGGAGAGTGAGATATTTATAGGGAAAAAAGATTCTCTGGTGTGAGTATAACTATTTTTCCCTATGGGCCTTATTTTGATGTAGATGTGTGTGCGCCAGAGTGAGGGGTCGTGTGTGATGAGGGAGCATATGTCCCACTTTAAGGATGCAAGTTTTGTATCCTCAGTAGGGGCCTAATGGTCTTCTCAGAGTATTGGGCTTGGTGATTAGTCTAGAAAATTAAGTAAAACTCTATTCAAGTACAAAAATAAAACATATTCTATCCATTTATAATTATCACCCGAACTAACCTTTAGATTTAGGTCCCCAATCGTCACTAGATAATTGCTCCTCTATCGTTTACTTCAAAAATAGCTATTATGCTTAACTTGAATTAACTCTAAGCCCTGAAGTACAAATCTTATCACTCAACAATTGCTCCCATATTGACTTCTCGACAATGGCTAAAAAGGTCGGGATCATTTTACACTGGTGTAAGTTACACTCTTAATCTTGATCGTTGATCATATTTATATCTAAAGGTTCTAATTTATTAGATATTTAAACCGTTCGATTAGATGTAAGTAAATCGATGATCCAAATTTGGTGTAAGACTTCTTATTCTTATACTGATGTAAGAATATCTTGCCCCTAACTAAAAACCAATCTAAACCAAGTAAAAATAATTTGAAGTTACCGCTTTTAATTTGTAAACAATTAAGTATAAAACAAAACTAAGAGGAGGAGTGAATGAATTTGTTCAAACATTTCAAATGTGCCCTTTGGAGGAAAGGTTCACAATATAATTTTTATAATTATTTTTCTTAAATTAATTATTGGGGAAATTTCATAATTTTAACGGTAAATTTTTTTTAAGGTTATCCTGATATTCAAAAATCTCCAAAACTTATTTCAAAAAATAGAGTCAAAGTTTTCAAATTAATTTTTCAAAAAATTAACTTTCCAAAATTTAATGAAAAAGAATCAAACATTTGAAATAGAATTAAAATTTTTAAAACAAATAAAATTTCCAAACTTTCTTTAACTATTCTCTAATGCTTTATCAAATTAAATTATTTTTTCAAATTAAAAATGCATTCAAAAAATCTGTTTCAATTTCATCTGCTTGGAATAAGAAGAAAATTTTTCTATCTTCTTTCCTAGTTTTTAAAACTTTTACATAATATAACTTAAGGTATGATCTAGAATTATCTCATTTACTCATTATATTAAATCTAAGATTTTATATTGAATCTTCAATTTCAAGATTTCATGATAATTTGTTGCATTTACTTCTTTGAAATTCAACACACACTAAATCATGCAACCAACTTTCAAAAAATCAAGAAATTGTTATATGACTTGGGTTACTTGTTTGTCATCATCAGAATTAGACAAGGCATGAGTCCCAACATTTTACACGGAACTACAAGTCTATTATTAAGTTAAATGCTAATGTTATTGTTCATACGTGTGTGCTTGAACGTGAGATGTTAAGCCCGACGGATGGAGACTAGGGTTTTAATCTATGAGATAAAGGTGATGTCATTTGGTATGGAATGGACCAAAGTCTTGCAATATGCTACCTGCGTAAGGGTTTTGTTGTGCAATTTCGCAATCAAATATATATATATATCAATCACACAAGTACGCAAGTGCATGTGTCACAAGTAATAAAGTGAATGTGTGAGTCCAAGTATCGTTCCCACGAAGATTAGGTAAAGTTACGGCTCTAGGTGAAGCAATAAAAGTAACAAATATGACTAAGTTATTATCTAAGTTATTAACTAATGATTAAACTAAGCTAAGACTACTGATTATCTACGAAAATAATTAAAAAGATAAGTTTCAAGTATTCAATGATAGATTGAGATCAATTTCCTCAATGTTGCAATTTTACCAGAATGTAATAACAATGCTATAACAATTATCCATCAGTAATCAGAACACCTATATATGCATGGGCTCTCACAATCTTATATGTATACTAGTTCTCGTATCTCTATGGCTAACATAGTTATGAATCCATTAAGTACAAGTTTCATATGATTTTATGGTGTGAATGATCTCTCTACCCACACTTAACCAATTTAATTAATTAATCCACAATGTTTAATAACTTTTCCAGGTTCACCTATATCTCTATAGCCCAAACCTTGGAACTCTTGTAGCTCTTTCTCGATAAGTCAACAAGATTAGAGACAATTTGAATATTTATTAAATAACTAATGAAAAATTACATAGCAAAGTTTAGGCAAACATGGTTACATTACAATACGGGTACTCTATCACTCAATTATAGACAATTTAGCTCATACTTAAATAAAAAGAAACAACAAAGAAAGATAAAGACTCCATAGAACTAAGAAAAAATAAACATGGACGATGTTGTAGCTATGCTCTCGCAGCAACTGCTGGCTCCACCATCACCCACTGCCTCTCAGCCACCTGAGTAGTGTTGGGATTAACCGAATTCAAGGATCTTTCTACTATATCCTAGCCTCATCCTTTGATCCATTGGATCTTACTCAACGAACCCTCAAAATTTCCTATGTGTTTCATGGCTTGAAAACCTCCAAAAGCTCATTGGACATGTGTAGGATCTTATTTATATAGAACAAGGTGATTTGGGCGTTAAGTAGCTCTTCAAATCCTTCAAAAATAATCTGCCAATATGCTCTTGATTTGGCTAAAGATTATGGTCTTATTTGCTAAAGATATGGATTTGCTAGATATGTGATTATTCTGATTTTACATGAAGCATGGTGACTTGGCACTAAGCAACTCTTCTCCCTTGTCTGAATTAGGATTCCAATGGCTAGTTATCCTTGAGTCTTCAATGCACCATTTCACTTAAGCACGATTGCTACAACTCTCCTACTCATAGCTACGACTCTGACCTGAAACAAAAACAACAGAGACAGTGACACTAACAATAGATAGAGAGGGGATTGAGATAATTGAGGCCCAATCTAGAGGAATTATGATTACTCGAGAGTAAAAATCCATTATGTGAAAATGAGAACATAGTAATCAGTAATGCATTTGCAGTGAATTATCATTTAGCAATCTATTTATATAATTATAGGGTTTTTTTATACATAAACATGGGGTTTATAACTATCATATCTAGATTTTCATTAAAGTTTTATTTAATATACACAATGATCTTTATTTTTTTATCCTATAAACTAGGTTTTTTTTTAACTTCTTACAAATTAGTATAACATAATAAATTTTAAATGAATATATTTTATCTAGACTTATTTATCGCGGGATATAAAGCTCAACCTACGAATGACTCAAGAGGGCCAACAACCAAGACTTACAGGTTAAGGAAATATGTTTATCCTTGTTGATGTCATCTTGCAGACATACAACTACGATCACAGCAGCATAGGATTCTACGGTAATCCTTATAGCCAATAGTTAAGGGACAAGCATATGGTTCCAGCTATACCTAAGAGGCATAGCCCACAAATAAGTATCTCGCACATAGGATAACATGCATAAGTCGTTTCAGCCCACCAATGGGGTTAAATTCCACCATACTAAGGCTGCATAAGCAGGGCAACCCACTATTATATAATAGAGGTTTGAAGCCCATGTATAATTATCTTATTTATCTTTACTAAAGCTCATTGATCAAATACTGACTTGAGCGTTAAAGTGTTTTGCAGGTACTCCCTACATTTGTCCTCACTAAACAAGACCAATGAGCACCAACCTCTCCATCTTGCAGAAGTATTCCACTGAAGTGTTCCGCAG